TGAAAAGGAAGAAAAAGATAAACTGCAAAGTACATTTTGCTAGATATCTTTGAGAGCCCTTATCCCCAAAGTTAACATCATCCTTCTGAAAAATGAATTGAATTCTCTAGTTTCTGTATCTAAATATGATCACAGTATTGAAAATCCTCTTTACTATAAAGATTCTTGCCTTCCTGGAGTCACAAATGCCTCCTTCCTTTGTCTCCAGTCCCACTGGGAGAAGGCAGAGAATTGCACAGCTCATATTGTGTTAATGTTATGCTTGGGGAGGACTATGAAGGGCAACAAAAATGCTTGCTCTTTGAACATTAACAGTTCGCACTACCCACAGACGCCAACTACTGAGATGTATTTCCTAAAGATTGGACTCTGATGTTTATATAAATAGAACATTAGCATAAAAGCATTTTCCGCAGGAATAGAGCAACCGACAAGGCCAAATGCTATTTTTAAAAAAGGAAAGTCTTCATTTCTCAAGGAAAATATGAGAATGAATAAAAAGTGAAAGGGAATAAAAAGATAAATGGCAAAGTACATTTTGCTAGATATCTTTGAGAGGCCTTATCCCCAAAGTTAATGCCCTCCTTCTCAAAGATGAATTGATTTTTCTAATTGTATATCTAAGTATGATCACAGTATTAAAAACCCTACAGATTCTTGCCTTCCTAGAGTCACAGATGCTTCTTTCCATTGTCCCAGCGCCATTGGGAGAAGGCAGAGAATTGCACAGCTGATATGGTGTTAATGTGATAAAGCTTATGCTTGGGGAGGACAACTATGAAGGACAACAAAATATTTCCAGGAGATGAACTAGCACTTTCGATCTTGTGGCGGCTGAAGGTGGCTATGAATAGGTTCAACTGCAGCAAAAAAAGAAAAGTCACTGTATTCAAAATGCATTAGCGTATAACTCCCACAGGGCTCAAAGCCACAAAGCTCCTTTGTGACCAAGAGTTGATGTCTAAATTTATAAATTTTGGGAGCTTTTATATTCAAGAGAATTCAAAAGTCAGTTTAATATAAACCCATTTCATGGGAAATAGGCCTGTAAGTCTTCCTCTAACACACTGCTATATCTCAGCTCAAATCAAAAGAGGACCACATGGAAGATATATTTGTGGCAAAAAAGACTAAGTGAATATACAATGCCATCCTCACCGACTGATTCCAAGTTCGAGAAGGTTTCCAGCATGACATCTTTGTAGAGATTCCTCTGAGTAGCACTCAGCAAAGCCCACTCTTCTCGAGTGAAGTTCACAGTGAC